AGAGTGACCTTCTCTGGTCTCAAAATTAAGCTAATCAATATTGTGTGTTGGTCGTTTGGGGTGATTGTTTATGGATGGAACTAGTTTTTATTTGGTTTGTTTTTTAATTATAGTTAATTTTGAAAAAGGTGTATGGTTAGTTGTTAGTAGATATATTAAAAAATATTTAAATAAAATAATTGAAGTTGATTTGATGTAAAGTAGGAGAAAAATAATTGAGAGTGATAGTTAGTTAGAATTATGTGAGTGGATGAATAGTTAATTAAAGTTGATGTGATGTGTAAAAATGATTGGTTGATATTATTTAACTATATTGATAATATTGATGATAGTGGGGTTGGGTTAAAGTTGAGTTAAATTTGAGTTTTGATTGGTTTTTTTACTATTCAATTCATATACAATCACCCCTAAGGATGAAACAATTCTCAATTGATGATATGATGATCAAAGTAGTAAATAATTATTAAAGATACGGTTCTATGCCTTTGATAAGAAATATTTTGCAAGATTCATGTTCTTATACGCTGTTAGAATATACACTTGTGAGTTGTCCCACATCGTCTATACAGGGAAAATAGACTCATCTTATAAGTCTAATGGGCTACTCCGCCTACCACCAATTGGTTTTGAGATGGAACCTCACTTGAGCTTCATTTGGGCTTCCCTGATTTGGTGTGCTTCGTCCGTGGGACCGCACCCGTCAACCCCCGTTTCGTCATGGTATCAGAGCCGGTTCACCCAACCCAGTTGAGCTTGGGCCTTCGTGGGACCGTGCAATGACGTACCCGTCACCCAACCCAGTTGGGCTTGGGCTTCCGAAGGACTCACAAGTGGGGGATGTTAGAATATACACTTGTGAGTTGTCCCACATCGTCTATAATGGGAAAATAGACCCACCTTATAAGTCTAATGGGCTACTCCTCCTACCACTAATTAGTTTTGGGATGAAACCTCACTTGGGCTTCATTTGGGTTTCCCTGCTTTGGTGCGCTTCCTCCGTGGGACCGCACCCGTCAACCCCCGTTTCGTCATGGTATCAGAGCCAGTTCTATGTGGGACCGTGCGATGACGTACCCGTTTTCCCCAGCCAGTTGGGCTTGGGCTTTCGAAGGATTCACAAGTGAGAGGGCGTGTTAGACTATCACTTATGAGTTGTCCCACATCGTTCATATATGGAAAATAGACCGACTTTATAAGACTAATGGGCTACTCCTCCTTCCACCAATTGGTTTTAAGATGTAACCTCACTTGGGCTTCATTTAAGCTTCCCTGATTTGGTGTGCTTCGTCCGTGGGACCGCACCCGTCAACCCCCGTTTGTCATGGTATCAGAGCCGGTTCACCCAGCCCAGTTGGGCTTGGACCTTCGTGGGACCGTGCAATGACGTACCCGTCACCCAGCCCAGTTAGGCTTGGGCTTCCGAAGAACTCACAAGTGAGGGGAGATGTTAGAATATACACTTGTGAGTTGTCACACATCGTCTATACAGGGAAAATAGACCCACCTTATAAGTCTAATGGGCTACTCCTCACACCACCAATTGGTTTTGGGATGAAACCTCACTTGTGCTTCATTTGGGCTTCCCTGATTTGGTGTGCTTCGTCCGTGGGACCGCACCCGTCAACCCCCATTTCGTTATGGTATAAGAGTCGGTTCACCCAGCCCAGTTGGGCTTGGGCCTATGTGGGACCGTGCAATGACGTACCCGTCACCCAACCCAGTTGAGTTTGGGCTTCCGAATGACTCACAAGTGAGGGGATTTTAGAATATACACTTGTGAGTTGTCCCATATCGTATATACAAGAAAAATAAACCTAACTTATAAGTCTAGTGGGCTGCTCCTCCTACCACCAATTGGTTTTGGAATGGAACCTCACTTGGGCTTCATTTGGACTTCCCTAATTTAGTGCGCTTCGTCCGTGAGACCGCATCCGTCAACCTCGTTTTGTTATACGCAACAGTGAATTAATCTTCTCAAGTTATTATAGTTTATCTTTTATAGTCTTGATTTGAATTCATCTCAACTTATATAAAGATTTACCGGTCAATTTGGTGATTTTTTTCTCGTTTATTTTCAATCTCTTATTACGAAGTTTATTAGGTTTATCGGTTAAATGATAATATTGGCTATTTCCAATGCCCTACACTTTCTTCTACTTCTCTATATATATATTTTAGTAATTTCAATGTCTTTCTAAGTATTGATGACTATTGATAGTTTTTAGATGATTTCTCAATGCATTCAAGATTACAATGCTTATGACATTATTTTCTTTTCATATGTGATTGACACTGACTATATCTATATTTCAAACTGTATTCTTCAAGAGATCGAACTCAGATTATATTGGAATTTTTGCAGATAATAAAATTTAATTTCACACTCTCTTATGGTCTTACAGGTTACACTCAAGTTTTGGCTGTTTCTTGGCATATATGTTTTCAAAAGGCTACGCATATAAACACACTTTCTCTGTCACCTGAAATTCCACTGTTATTCCATTTGTCGGTAAAAACTAAGCAAATGCTTATTTACAAATTAATTTATTCATATTTATTTAATACTCAAAATTTAATTCAACGTTAGCTCAATTCTATTATCCTTAATATTATTCATATAATAAAATAATACAAACCAATCATTCTTACACATCACATCAACTTTAATTCACTATTCATCCACTCACATATTTTTAACTACCTATCATTTTCAATCATTTATCTTCTACTTTTACATCAAATTAAATTTAATTATTTATTTTAAATATTATTTTAATACATTTATAAAATTTCACTAAATAATCATACCACCTTTTACAAAATTAACTATAATTTACCAAAAAACTAATTTTGAACAGATTATTTCATAAACAAGCGCACCATTCTTTGTCGTTTTAGCTGGATGAGAGTTTATTGGTTTTTGTTTAGACTATGTTTGATAGACAAATGAGCTAGTTTATAGTTTATTCATTAGTTTATAAGTTTCCTATATTTAAATAAGCATCGTTTGGTCGGACGAGATTTTTTAAAAAGTTCGAGCTTATCTCATGAGCTTTTTTGGGTAACTTTTTAAATAAGCTTGTTGTAATTTTTATTTCAGCTAGCTTATCAACTAATTTTTTCAAGCAATCATGTAAGCTAGCTTTTCAGCTATAAGTCATAAGCTAAAAGCTTGAAAATTACTCATAAACTATAAGCTAGCTTATCAACTAGTTTTAGTAAACATTTAATCTCACTAACACTTTACGTGTGTGTCATAATTTTTCTTTTTTTTTTCCTTACTTTAATTTAGGTTAATTTTGACTCTTGTTTTTTGTACAACTCATTAGCTGATGATTTCAGTATAATGTCTTTTATCCACGTCTGTTAACAATTTTAAAATTATAAATATATTTTAAAATTTAATAATTTTTTTATTTATCGATTTTTTGATATATGATATATCAAATTAATCATCTTTTTGACGATCCTCTAGTGTTATTATATATGTAACATAATTTACATCTAGTTTTATAAATAAAACTTAAATTATATAATATATCTTAATTGGATTTCTAATCAAGTCTGTACTATAATATTAGTTAGATAAATTACTATAAATAGGAGCGAAAATTTTAGTGTCATTCTAAATAAAAATAAAAAATATATTTTTTAAAAAATCTATTTAAATTTTAAATAAAAATTTCTATGTATTTTAAGTTTTTTTATAAATTTCAAGCCCGTTTCGAAGACCAATATAAACCATCAGATTTCAAGCCCATTTCGAGGATCTGGCCCAAAGTCCAGGCCTTAAAAACTGACCTTAATACTAGGCCCGTGAAAACTGTGCATACATCATACCAGCTAAATCCCTCTCCCTCATTTCTCATTCACAAACTCCTCGTCGGCAAAGAAAATCATATCCCGGCTGATTTCCGGCACCTCCAGTCGGCCACGGGTAAGCACCTTTTGCGATTGAGCCAGTTTTTTGTGTTTATTGTGTAATTTGTAGTTTAGTAAATTACTTGGTGTGCTTCATGGTTTTAATTGATGGAAAATAAGCAGCTTCGATGATAACAGGTTCTAATCCTAATCCCCTTTTCTGGGCATCTCACTTCTGTTTAGGTGTTTCCATTTAAAATTTAAATCTCAATTTAAATCCTAATCCCTATTGAACAATTGTTGAACCTCCTCCATTTAAGATTGATTAAGGGCCCTGGTATAATTTAGTGGGACACTGAATAGCATGCGATCAGTTGTTTCCATAGTTATATGGATAGAAGCACAGACTTTCATATTAGTGTATTTCTTTTCTTTACGAGCATTTATTATCCATCACCCCAGAAAATTATCCTCTAACAAGGTTAAATGTAGTCTATGTATCTGTAATGGAGTCTTTTCTTTTAGGCCACTCTTACCTACATAACATCATGTACCTCCTTTGTCACCATTAGATTGACTAAAAAATAAATATCAACCATTAGACTCGTACTTGATAAAAACCTATTATACGCTTACTTAAATAAAAATTAAAATTTAAATTACTAAATTATAAAATGATAATTGTATTTATTTTGAAGCCCATATATTTATCTAATTTGTATAGCAATCCTTTAAATACAAAAACATATCATCACAACCTTAACATTTAATTTACGAATTAAATTGTTCTTCAATTTCTTGTCATTCACATTTTCAGCCATGACCAAACATTTGATTCCAAGTCTGAACAGAGTTCTTGTGGAGAAGATCGTCCGCCATCCCCCATCCCTCACTAGATATGTTCTGTAAAATTGCCTCACACATATCCTCTATCGCACTCAAAAGATGGCACCCAACGCCGAGAAGAAGCCGACCATCACCTCTCGCGAGATATCAATCGCCCATTATAAACCATGAGGAAGTTCAATTTCATTTGAGAAACAAAAATTAGAACAGAAAATGCCCACGAATTGATAACAATACAAAATTCTACAAAATTTCTCATCATCTTTCCCCACCAAACTTATAAATTTGAACCCGGAAAATTCTTTCTTCCCTGAATTATCACTTCCATGCTTGTCGTCTCTAATTGTCTGCCAATAAACCTCCATAAATTGTATGGTCGAAACTCCATTTCAGCACCCATTTTAGCATTTTCTCGTATATCTACTCGGAGTAGGAGATTCTCAATGGTCACCGGTTCTTCATCCGCCAATTCCGGTGATGGCGCTTTCACAACACTGTCCGAGAGAGTCACGTTCGAGAAGGAAATCAAGAAAAGCAAATTCATGGCGGTTGCATGTTCTGTATCCGATGAGCGCTCCGCCTTTGCTTTCCTGTCCGAGGTAAAATTACAGATTCTACTCGTCGGCTTTTTTGAGGTTCAATTTCTAGGTTTTTGTGTTTGTGCATATCATCCGAGGCGGATGAGAAGCTGAAATTGAAGCTTCTGGTTTATTATTTGAACATGACAATAATTTATGTTTTTGGTTTCTATTGTTTTCTTTGGTGGGTTGTGCTGTTATTTAGGTTCGTCAACCTCGTGCCACTCACAATTGCTGGGCTTACAAGGTAACTTTCATGCTTTGCGTGCGTGTGCGTGTGTGTTTCATGCATTTGTATATAATATAATGCTTAGCTTGCTGGAACTATAAAGCCCAAGAATTTCGGCAACTATTTTGTTGGATTCAATGGTTGAGTACATTTTCCTGTAATCCTGTGTGTAAGATTGAACTGCATTCATTTTCTATTAAAAAAAAAAAACCTCCTAGCTGTAGCTGTAATTGTGAATAGCGACAACTCAAATTTTGGGTATGTATCGATTAGGCAAAACATGAGCTGGCACATCTAAAAATGTCATATTAAAGTAATCTCTACTTAAATGTCCTGTCCACAATTTTAGGTCGGAGCTCAATTTCGTAGTAATGATGATGGTGAACCATCCGGTACAGCTGGCAAGCCAATACTATCCGCTATTGATTCTTCAGGGATAGATAGAGTTATGGTTGTTGTCATCAGGTAAAGAATTGAACTCTTTGCTTTCCTAATCTGGTTTTAACAACGGAATATATGTAAGCGTGTATATTCTCAGTTTGGGACTATGATTTGCATAGTTTAAGGATGTCAGGAAACTGTACTTGCTGTATCTGCATGAAGCCCAAGGACATGTGTATATCCTTTGGTATGAAAGTTTCATTAGATATGTTTCTCGTTTTTTGTAGGTATTTTGGTGGTATCAAACTTGGAACTGGAGGATTGGTTAGAGCGTATGGAGGTGTAGCTGCAGAATGTTTAAGAAATGCCCCAACCTGTGTTGTAAAATCCAAAGTAATGTTTGAATTTCACGGTTGCATTTGTTGGAAATGGTTGAAGGACTGGTCACATTATATATGCATGCAAGCTTGAAGTTTGCATATTTCATTTAGGTTTCATGTAATGTGATTTGTTGATTAGTAACATTTTTTTTTAATCTATTGCTCCTATTTGCTGTAGGTTCCTATGGGCTTGGAGGTTCCTTTTGATCTTTTGGGAGTCCTATATCATCAAGTAAGAACAAACGAAGTCACTATAATTAGTATCTCACAAATATTTCTTTTCCTTTTTCCTTTTTGCTTCCCTTTTCCACCCCTTCTTACAATAGAATGTTATTT